TCTCAAAAAAAAAAAAAAAAAAAAAATTTTTTAGAGACAGGATCTGGCTACATTGCCCAGGCTGGTCTCGAACTCCTGGGCTTAAACAATCCTCCTGCCTCTGCCTCCCAAAGTGTTGGGATTACGGTTGTGAACCACTGCACCCATCAGCACCGTCGTTTTAATAGCTGCAAAGGATTCCACCATATGGAAGGGCTATCTTCTATTTCGCCAAGTTTCTATGTATAGACATGTAGGTCATTGCTAGTTTTTGCTGTTATGAAAATGGTTGGAGTCACTATCTATGTACAGACATCTTTGCCCACCTGCTTGATTTTTTTTGTAGCATAAATTGCTAGAAGTCACTGGCTGCATTTCACAACTACCCACACATTCATGATTCTCTCAAAAGACTCACGGGACTCAGAGGGGCTTGTATTCATGGCTGTGGTTTATTACAGCGAAGGGACACACGACAAGTTCGGCGAGGGAAAAAGACACCATCTGGTGGCACCTGGAGGAACCCAGAATTCTCTGTCTTGGGGAGGAGGAGAGAGGTTGCACCAAACACTCTTCTTCCTGCAGCCATGAAGTCTAGCAACATGTGTGCTGTGTTTCTACCTGGGGAAACACACTTAAGACTCCATGGCCAGGGTTTTTTTGTTTGTTTGTTTGTTTTTGTTTTTTTCTGGAGTCAGGGTCTTACTTCAACTGCCCTGGCTGGAGTGCAGTGGTGCAATTTCGGCTCACTGCAACCTCCACCTCCCTGGGCTTAGGTGATTCCCCCACCTCAGCCTCCTGAGTAGCTGGGACAACAGGCATGCACCACTATGCCTGGCTAATTTTTTGTATTTTTAGTAGAGATGTGGTTTTGCCATGTTGCCCAGACTGGTCTCGAACTCCTGGATTCCACCCACCTTGGCCTCCCAAAGTGCTGAGATTACAGGCGTGAGCCACTGCGCCAGGCCCAAGGCCAGGGTTTCTGTTAGGGATTGGTCATATAGTTGACCAGTCACCACGACCAAAATTCCAGACTCTCAGAAGAGAAGGAAGTGTTTGCCATGAATCCCGTTTTCTGTCCAAATTAGCCTACATAAGCTGGTACAATAGAACAGTGCCCCAGGTGGGCAAAACAAGCCTTATCAACAAAGGAGATGTCCCACAAGCCAGGTTCTCAGATCCCAGTCACGAGCTGGTGCTGCAAGAAAGCCCTTTTTAAAATAGCAACATTAGGCTGCTCTATTAACTCTTTTCTGCATGAGTTAGGTCATTTCTGCCTACTTTCACAGGGAAGAGGGATAGCAGCACCAAGCCAAGGCTTCCTCTGAATTCTCCCATGACTTTGTTTCCCCAACCCCTCTTAGCCCCTCCCCTGAGCTGCCTGGTAAGTAGCTGTTCTTTCCACCTGGCTGGCTAAAGCCAATGTCCTTCCTCCCTGATAAGTAAGACAGCTGGTATCAAGAAGCTGTAACACTTTTCTTTTCTGATTTCAGAGCAGCCTAAACATGCATTCCGTGCCCAGCTACCTCACCCAGCCTCCACCCCCTCCTCCGCCTCCTCCACCACTGCCCCCACCGCCACCACCTCAGCCCCCACCACCTCCACCCCAGAGCCTGGGCCCCCCTGGGCGTCCCAACCCTGGAGGGAACGGTGTGGTGGAGGTGTACAGTGCTGCTGCGCCCCTGACTGGGAGTGGAACCGTGGAGATCCAGGCGCTGGGGATGCAGCCCTATCCACCCCTGGAGGTGAGCAGAGGGGGCAGGGTGGAAGAGAACACTAGTCATGGACATCATGGGCAACCTGGACCTGTCCTGAGCACCAGCTGTGTGCCAGGTATTGTGCTGGGGATACCGTGAAAACCAAACCCAGTCCTGGCCTTCATGGGATGTACCACATCATGGGGAGGACTCTCATCAAAGCATCAAACCCACAGATGTAAGATGCCAGCCATGAGAGGGTGAAATGGAGTACAGGTTGTAGCAGAAATATAAGCTGCCTGCAGGTAATGCTCAGAACAGTCAGAGATTGCCTGCCTTTTTGGACAAAAAAATTTAAAAAGATTCAAAAAAATTATGTGCATAAGTGTCCCTGACAGTTTTTAATAAGCTAGGTGTATCAGTTAGCTATTGCTGGGAAAGAAATATCCATCAGACATCAGTAATGTATCGCAAAAGTGTTTATTGTTCACGTGTTTGCATGGTCAGCTAGACAACTCTGCAGATCTTGGCTGGACTCACTCATATGTCTGAAGGTTGACTGGTTGTCAGCCGCTCTAGGATGGCCTGGGCTGGGACAAGTGGGGTGTCTCAGCTCTGTTCTGCGTGACTCTCATCTTCCAGTAGGTTCTCGTGGCCATGGTGGAGGTGTACAAATGCAGGCAGAAATGCCCAAGGCCTCTGGAGGTTTAGGCTTGTAAATAACACAGAATCACTTCTACTGGCCAGAAGTGATCACAAGGCCAGCGTAGATTCAACAGCTAGGGAAATAGATGCCACCTCTTGATGGGAGGACCTGCAAAGTCACACTGCAAAGGCATGGGTATGGGGAGGGGTGAAGAATTGGGGCCATAATCCAGTCACTGTACCAGGCTAATTCCCTGCCCATGAGCCCGAAGCTGCAGGCTGTCTACTCAAAATGCACTGAGTTCATAGAACCTTCCAAGACACTCATGCTAGAGGGGATGGTTATGACAAAAACAACCCACCTGCACTGGAAATCACACTAATTCAGACTCACCCCATGTCAGGTAGTCCCTTATAAAGAGAGCCCAGACCAGTCGGAAGATCCCACCGCAAGGCATTCACGTGATGTTCTGAGGGGCTTTGAGGGGCTTTGCCCTAGCCTGGGAGAACAGAGCAAGCTTCTCTAGGGAATTGATTGAATTGAGAAAAAGTTCAGTGGGATGCTGAGGTAATCCTGGTGGCTTGGTAGTCAGAGGGTACCAGCCCAGTGGGGACCAGCACAGAGGGAGCTGCTGCTGTTGATTTTCCATGTAGATGAGGGTGGTATTTGAGGGCAGAGCCTGATTCTTATTAGACTTTGCATCCTTAGCACCTAGCAGAGCACCTGGCCTGTGGTCCTCCTAGAGTAGATATCTTACATTGGGCCATGACCTCCGTTTGCACTCCTCTAAAATGGGACCTCTCCTAGAAGAGCTGTTGAGGATAATAAGAGCCTATACCAGTGGCAGTCACATTAATTACTCAGTAATGCCTTGAGTGAGGGGTGAATTTATTCATGTGACAAATATTTATTTATTTATTTAAAACAGAGTCTCACAGTGTCTCCCAGGCTGGAGTGCAGCGGTATGATCTCGGCTCACTGAAACCTCCACCTTTTGGGTTCAGGCGATTCTCATGGCTCAGCCTCCTGAGTAGCTGATATTACAGGCCTGCGCTACCACGCCCAGCTAATTTTTTTTGTATTTTTAGTGGAAATGGTGGCCAGGCTGCTCTGGAACTGCTGGCCTCAGGTGATCTGCCTGCTTCGGCCTCCTAAAGTGCTGGGATTATAGGCGTGAGCTACTGCACCCGGCCCAGCAAGTATTTATTGAGTGCCGTATTGGTCAGGGTTTGGCCAGGAAAATAGAAACCAGGCAAGCTATTTCTGCAGAGGGTTTTTTTTTTTTTTTTTTTTTTAAATTAGAGATGGTGATCTCACTTTAGCCCAGGTTGGTCTCCATCTCCTGGCCTCAAGTTTGCCTCTCACTTCAGCCTCCCAGAGTGTTGGGATTACAGGTGTGAGCCACTGTGCCCAGCCAGATTTTATAATTAGTGTTTTTTAAACCTTTTTTCAGTTTTGTCTGATTTTATTACTCCAACTGTATCTTTCTATTTATTTGTGTTTGTCTGAAATATTTTTTCAACTTTAGGCTTTTTGCTTAGTTGTAGTCTTTTTTTTTTTTTGGAGACAGAGTCTTGCTCTGTCACCCAGACTGGAGTGCAGTGGCATGATCACGGCTCACCGCAGTCTCGATCTCCCAGGCTCAGGTGACTCTCTCATCTCAGCCTCCTGAGTAACTGGGACTACAGGCATGTGTCACCATGCCCAACTAGTTTTTTAAATATTTTGTAGAGATGAGATCTCCCTATGTTGCCCAGGCTAGTCTCAATCTCATGTGCTCAAGCCATCCTCCTTCCTCAGCTTCCCAAAGTACTGGAATTGCAGGCATGAGCATTGTGCTTGGCCAGAAATTTTGGGTAGGACACCTCAGGAAGTCCAATGAATGATGAATAGGCCAGGCACAGTGGCTCACGCCTGTAACCCCTACACCTTGGGAGGCAGAAGTGGATGAATCACTTAAACTCAGGAGTTTGAGACCAGCTTGGGCAACATGGTGAAATCTCGTCTCTACAAAATTCACAAAAATTAGCCGAGTGAGGTGGTGTGTGCCTATCATCCCAACTACTTGAGAGGCTGAGGCGGGAGGATTGCTTGGGCCTGGGAGGTCAAGGCTGTGGTGAACTGAGATCACATCATTGCATTCCAGCCTGGACAATAGAGCAAGACCCTCTCTCAAAAAACAGCAACAACAACAAAAAGACTGAAAAAATGAATTCTTTATGATGTCCCAGTGTGGGGATGTAAGCTTAATGTTAACTTAATCTGAATGACTCAGAATTCATGTGGTCATTTCTTGTGGCTTCAGTTCTCAGTGAGGGGAAGCCTGCTACTATGCCATTGGGTACTGTCAGTCAGGAAGTAGAGCAGCTAGGGAGAGCACAGACCCCTCTGACTTCCTGGTTCTTTCTCTCTCTCTTTTTTTTTTTTTTGAGACAGAGTCTTGCTCCGTTACCCAGGCTGGAGTGCAGTGATGTGATCTTGGCTCACCGCAACCTCCGCCTCCCAGGCTCAAGCAGTTCTCCTGCCTCAGCCTCCTGAGTAGCTGAGATTACAGGCACACACCACCATGCCTGGCGAACTTTTGTATTTTTAATAGAGATGGGGTTTCACCATGTTGGCCAGGCTGGTCTCAAACTCCTGACCTCAGGTGATCTGCCCACCTTGGCTTCCCAAAGTGCTGGGATTACAGATGTGAGCCACTGTGCCCAGCCACCTCGTTCACCACTGATAAGAGTAGTTGGCTGGACGTGATGGCTCATGCCTGTAATCCCAGCACTTTGGGAGGCCGGGACAGGTGGATCACAAGGTCAAGAAATCGAGACCATCCTGGCAAACATGGTGAAATCCTGTCTCTACTAAAAATATATATATAAAAAAAAAATTATGGCAGGACACGGTGGCTCACACCTGTAATCCCAGCACTTTGGGAGGCCAAGGCGGGTGGATCATGAGGTCAAGTGATCGAGACCATCCTGGTCAACATGGTGAAACCCCATCTCTACTAAAATACAAAAATTAGCTGGGCATGGTGGCATGCACTTGTAGTCCCAGCTACTTGGGAGGCTGAGGCAGGAGAATTGCTTGAACCCAGTGAGCTGATATCGCGCCACTGCACTCCAGCCTGGTGCCTGGTGGCAGAGCGAAACTCTGTCTCAAAAAAAAAGAAACAATTAGCTGGGCATGGTGATGTGAGCCTGTAGTCCCAGCTACTTGGGAGGCTGAGGCAGGAGAGTTGCTTGAACCTGGGAGGTGGAGGTTGCAGTGAGCTGAGATTGTGCCACTGCACTCCAGCAAAGCCAAAGAGGAAAACTCTCTCAAAAAAAAAAAAAAAAAAAAAAGACAGCAAAAAACCATAGTCATGACAATAATAACAGCTAATGTGTATTGCATGCTCACTCTGTGCCAGTCACTGTTCTAAGCCCTTTACTTGTTGCTTCCTTTAATCTTCACAGTCACCCCTTGAGAGGGGTACTATGATGAGTCCCATTTTACAGAAGTGGAAACTGAGACAAAGAAATTAAAAGATGCCCAAGGTCACTTAGGTGCTAAGTGGAAGAGTCAAGATTTGAACCTAGGCAGCCTGGCTCCATAGCTATTCTGGCCTCCTGGCTTCATGAAGTTCTGAGGGGGCTTGAGAGTGACTTGGGTGACCGGGGCAGGTGGAGGGTCTGTGATGGTGGTATAGGGGAGAGTGGCTGAGGTTGGCCAGGGAGGCAGGGAGAGTGCCCCTGGCTGGGAGCTCTTCCCCTCTCCTGGCAGGGCTTTTTCTCTGACTGTGCTGTCCTTCTAGGTGCCAAACCAGTGTGTGGAGGCTCCAGTATACCCCAGCCCTGCAGTGTACAGCCCTGGCAAGCAGGGATTCAAACCCAAGGGACCAAACCCCACTGCCTCCATGACCAGCGCCACCGGGGGCACAGTGGCCACTTTTGACTCTCCACCAATGCTGAAGACCCGACGGGCTAAAGGTGCCAGGGGACTCCCGGAAGGTGGGCCCCCAGCCTACCATGGGCATCTTTCCTCAGCATAGGCTGATTCACAAGCTGCTTGGTTCTGGTCTTCCCTTTTATGGTAGTTCAAGTTTGTTTGCATGTAATGGAAAATTCAAAATAGCGATAACTTCAAAATGATAGAATTTTGTTTATTTTCTGTGTAAATCAAGGCCAGAAGCAGAAAATCTTGGGATCATGTGACTGCATGGGCACCAGGCACCCCTGTTTCTTCTTTCTGTTTCTACCACCTCCAGAACATGGTATCAGTTATCCTGATGCCTCATTGTCTCAGATGGCTGCTGGAACTCCGGTCATCAATTTAATATTCCAGGTAGTAAGAAGAAGGGAAAGGGAAGGATAAAAGGGGCTTCTCCCAGCTTCTAGAAGTTCTGTTTGATATTTTTGCTTATATCTCATTGATGAAAACTTAGTCACATGGCCATACCTAGCCGCAAGAGAAGCTGGGAAGTGTCTCTTTTGGCTAGGGACATTGATATTCCCTTTATGGGATTTGTGAGGAGTGAAGAAGGAGAGTGGATATTAGGCAAGCAGTAGTATCTGCCATCCTAAGGCAGATGCTCAGTATGGGCTGGGAGGTGGTGTCAGAGCAGGGAGCAGATGGAGAGGAGAGAAAGAATTATTCAGGGGCTTTCCAGTCTACTACTCCTACCCTTCTTTCCTTCCACAATGATGTATTGAGAGTCTGTATGCCAGACCCAGTGTCAGGCACTGGGATCTAGTCTCTTGGTCTATGATTTCTCCTGCCTTCAGTTTAATGGAAGAAACAGACAGGCAATAAATAATAAATATTTCTGAGTTGCTCTAGGAAGGAGGCTAATGGGTCCTGTGATTGAGAATTAACTAGGGAGAGGCTGGTAAATGATTCTCCTCAGGTGAGGAGGAGAAGGAAGCAGCCTTGCGGATATCTGTGGGACAAGCATTCCAGGCAAGGGGGAACAGCAGGTGCAAAGGCCCGGAGGTAGGAACATGCTTGAGGTCTTGGAAGGTTAGCAAGGTTAGCTAGGCGTCTACTGCAACTGGATGGAGAGAATGATGAGGTTGTCAGGAGTTAGGGGATGGAGAGCACTGTGGGCCACGGCAAAGAGGGTAGATTTGATTATAGGGCAGAGGGGAGCCTCTGAAGGATTTGTCTTACTTTCCCAGCCAGAGCATGACCTGGGCTTTCCTCCCCAGTCCCTGTGAAGCTCTCCTGTGTCTCCTCCCCGGCCTGCACACAGGTGTAGATTTCCCGGGGTGTGTGTTGTCTGGCTCAGGTTCAGCAGCCAGAGGCTGCCCTTGGCTCCCTGAGCTGCACCCCAGCCTCATTGTCCCCTCCTTCCATTTGTCTTTCAGCTGCAGGGAAGCCAAAGGCTCAGAAACTCAAGTGCTCATACTGTGACAAGTCATTCACCAAAAACTTTGATCTGCAGCAGCACATCCGAAGGTACATATGCGTGGTGAGGCAGATGTGGCTGGGGCCATCTGTGCTGGGAGCGAGACTCTTTTCAGCCCCTAGCCTGGGAGGTGACCCAGGTTGCACCTGCCATGTCATGGTGTTCAGGCTGTAGTCCAGGCCGGGGTGGTTTTTCCTCTTCTATCTCAGGAGCAGTGGAAGGGACTTGTAAAAGCTGTGGGACTTGCCCACAGAGACTGGGAAGGTCCGGGACGGGCCGGTATGGGAAGAAAAGCACTGAACCCAGGTGGGCTTCGCAGATATGTCAGCGCTGTCTCAGGCCCCCCCTCTGCAGAACAGGCTGGCCAGCCAGGGCTGCCGTGCTCTGCAGATGGGACTCTGTGAGCTCTCTGCTCACTCCGGACTAAGCATGCAGGGATCCCTGCTGGGCCTGGGTTTTTCCATCTGTGAAAGGGGAGGCTGGACTTGTTCAGCATCTCTCACACAGTGAGATGCACTGGTACATGAGATGATTTTTGGTGGTTCATGGATATGGGGTTGAAAAGTTCTGAAGATGTAGTGGGAAAGTTCTTCCCTTTGTAATTTCAGTCCTTGGAGAGTCATAGAGGAAACCTCAGTTTGGTATAATTTTGTCTTTAACACCTTTGGTATACATGCTCATCTCTTATAATGGAGAGAGAGAGGGGTGGGGGGAGAGAGAGACAGAGAACAAACCTCAGATTCCAGCCGTGGCTGGGAACAGCTTCTATCTAGACCAGGGTTTTTCAGCCTTGCTGCTACTGACATTTTGGATTTTGGATCACATTATTCTTTGCTGTGGGGAGCTGACGTGCACATCATAGAATGTTTAGGAGCATCCCTGGCCTATAACCGTTAGATACCAGGAGTACCGCAGCCTACAGCTGGGACAATCAAAAATGCCAGTGTCTCCTGGAGGGCAAAACTGACCACAGTTGAGAACTGGTCTACACTAGTGCTGTCCAATAGAACTTTCTGTGATGATACAAATGCTCAAATTGTGCTGGACACGGTGGCTTATGCCTGTAATCCCAGCACTTTAGGAGGTTGAGGTGGGCGGATCACTTGAGGTCAGGGGTTCGAGAGTAGGCTGGCTAACATGGTGAAACCCCATCTCTACTAAAAATACAAAAATTAGCCAGGCATGGTGGCGGGTGCCTGTAGTTCCAGCTACTTGGGAGACTGAGACAGGAGAATCCCTTGAACTCAGGAGGCAGAGGTTGCAGTGAGCTGAGATCATGCCACTGCACTCCAGCCTGGGCGACAGAGTGAGACACCGTCTCAAAAAAAAAAAGAAAAAAGAAATGCTCAAAGTGGCGCTCTCCAGTGTGATAGCTACTGACTATACATGGCTGTTGAGCACTCGGAATGTGGCTCGTGAGATTGAGAAATTGAATTTCATATTTTATTTTATTTATTTATTTTTTTTTGGGACGGAGTTTCACGTTACCCAGGCTGGAGTGCAATGGCGCGATCTCGGCTCACCGCAACCTCCACCTCCTGGGTTCAGGCAATTCTCCTGCCTCAGCCTCCTGAGTAGCTGGGATTACAGGCACGCACCACCATGCCCAGGTAATGTTTTGTATTTTTAGTAGAGACGGGGTTTCACCGTGTTGACCAGGATGGTCTCGATCTCTTGACCTCGTGATCCACCCACCTCGGCCTCCCAAAGTGCTGGGATTACAGGCTTGAGCCACCGCGCCTGGCCCATATTTTATTTTAATGAATTTTACTTATTTATTTTTAGACAGGGTCTTGCTCTGTTGCCCAGGCTGGAGTGCAGTGGTGTGATCTTGGCTCACTGCAGCCTCAATCTCCCGGGCTCAAGCAGTCCTCCCATCTCAGCCTCCCAAACTGCTGAGACCACAGGCTCACACCACCACACCTAGCTAATTTTTGTACTCTTTGTAGAAACAGGGTTTCATCATGTTGCTCAGGCTGGTCTTGAACTCCTGAGCTCAAGCGATTCTCCCATCTTGGCTTCCCCAAAGTGTTGGGATTACAGGCATGAGCCACCATGCCAGGCTTGAATTTAAATTTAAATAGCCCCATATGGCTTATGTCTACCTTATTGGACAGTGTAGCTCTGGATCTTGCATTTTTTTTTGGTTGCTTTATGACAAGCGGTTTTCCATACAGAATAACAAAAGGAAACTTTTTAAAAAAGATTATTTTATTTTCATTGATTTAATTTTAGAGACAAGGTCTTGCTCTGTCATCCAGGCTGGAGTGTAGTGGCATGGTTATACTCACTGTAACCAACTCCTGGGCTTAAGCAATCCTTCTGCCTCAGACTCCCAAAGTGCTAGAATTACATATGTGAGCCATAAAATTATTTTAAGTTGGGGTGGACGTGGTGGCTCACGTCTGTAATCCCAGTGCTTTGGGAGGCCGAGGGGGGTGGATCACAAGGTCAAGAGATAGAGACCATCCTGGCTAACATGGTGAAACCCCATCTCTACTAAAAATACAAAAATTAGCCGGGCATGGTGGCGCACGCCTATAGTCCCAGATACTCGGGAGTCTGAAGCAGGAGAATTGCTTGAACCTGGAAGCGGAGGTTGTAGTAAGCCAAGATCGTGCCACTGCACTCCACTCTGATGGCAGAGCGAGGCTCTGTCTCAAAAACAAAATTATTTTAAGTTTTAAAAAAGTAAGTCGATTTGAAGAAAAATGTTAAACTGTGGTACAAGTACTGTGCTGTGACAACTAGAATGTTTTCTCCTTCAAATGACAGAAGTCCCCATTTGTTTATTCATTTTCGAGATGGAGTCTCGCTCTGTCACCCAGGCTGGAATGTAGTGGTGTGATCTTGGCTCAGTGCAACCTCCACCTCCTGGGTTCAAGCGATTCTCCGACCTCAGCCTCCTGAGTAGCTAGGATTACAGGTGCACACCGCCACACCCAGCTAAGTTTTCTATTTTTAGTAGAGACGTTTTTTCACCATGTTGGTCAGGCTGGTCTCAAACTCTTGACCTCAAGTGATCCACCTGCCTTGGCCTCCCAAAGTGCTGGGGTTACAGACATGAACTGCTGTGCCTGGCCAGAAGTCCTCATTTAAATGGGCTTGGACAATTAAGAAATGTTGTCTCACAGTATGGGATGGCCAGAGGAAGATGGCTCCAGGGTTTGTTGATGAGCAGCTCACTAACATGACCCAGAACCCAGGGTCTTTCCATCTCTGGTCTGCCTGCCTCAGCAAGAGGGCTTGTCTCCATGGTGTCAGAGGGTGGCCAGTGGCATCTGGATGTTCTTTCTGGGCCTTCCTGGTGGCTGTGAGCTCCTGGGCTGAGGCCTTGTCCTCGTTCCTGCAGGAGGGCACTGACAAGCCTTGTCTTCCACAGCCATACCGGCGAGAAGCCCTTCCAGTGTATTGCATGTGGCCGTGCCTTTGCCCAGAAGTCTAATGTTAAGAAACACATGCAGACCCACAAGGTGTGGCCTCCAGGACACAGTGGTGGCACCGTGTCTCGAAACTGTGTGACTGTACAGGTCATGGCCCTGAACCCCAGCAGGCAGGAGGACGAGGAAAACACAGGTAGGTGGAAGTAGGGAATGCCATGCTCCTCACGCCTCTCTTCTGCGGCTTCACAGGTGTTGTTGCTAGCTGTGTGACCTTGGGCAACCCCCATGACCAAACATACAACATATGTGGCATTACTCTAATACTATACACATGGCAGACATCACTATTCAATCACCTACCCTTTTTTGGCAGAGCCTGGTCTTACCTCAGAATCTTTCTATTTTTTTTAACTTATGAATTGCTTATTTCTGGAATTTTCCATTTAATATTTTCAGACCATGGTTGACTCTAGATAATTAAAATCATGGAAAGCAAAATTGTAGATAAGGGGAGACTAGTATAACATAAAAATTTATGAGCCCATACTGTTAAAATAAATGAATAAGTAAATAAATAGGGGATGAAAGACAGCCCTTTCTTCTTAAAAAAATTTTTACTTGCCGGGCGCGGTGGCTCAAGCCTGTAATCCCAGCACTTTGGGAGGCCGAGGCGGGTGGATCACAAGGTCAAGAGATCGAGACCATCCTGGTCAACATGGTGAAACCCCGTCTCTACTAAAAATACAAAACATTAGCTGGGCATGGTGGCGCGTGCCTGTAATCCCAGCGACTCAGGAGGCTGAGGCAGGAGAATTGCCTGAACCCAGGAGGTGGAGGTTGCGGTGAGCCGAGATCGCGCCATTGCACTCCAGCCTGGGTAACAAGAGCGAAACTCCGTCTCAAAAACAAAAAACAAAAAAAAAAAAACATTAATAAAAAAAAAATAAAAAAAAATTTTTTACTTTAAGTCTGGGATACATGTCCAGAATGTACAGGTTTGTTACATAGCTATACCTGTGCCATGGTGGTTTGCTGCACCTATCAACCCGTCATCTAGGTTTTAGGCCCTGCATGCATTAGGTATTTGTCCTTGTCCCCCAACCCCCAATAGGCCCCAGTGTGTGATGTTCCCCTCCCTGCGTCCTTGTGTTCTCATTGTTCAACTCCCGCCTATGAATGAGAACATTTGGTGTTTGGTTTTCTATTCCTGTGTTAGTTTGCTGAGAATGGTGGCTTCCAGCTTCACCATGTCCTCACAGAGGACATGAACTCATTCATCTTTATGGCTGCATAATATTCCATGGTGTATATGTGCCACATTTAAAGAAAGTCCTTTCTTACGGTAAAATATGTACTGATAAAAGTAGAAATAATGGTTAAATTAGCAAATAACTATTTAACAGCCACCATAGTTATATGATCATGTGCTGTGTAAGGATGTTTCCATGAGTGACAGATGGCATATGTGACAGTGGTCCCATGAAGTTGTAATGGAGCTGGAAAATTTCTGTCATCTAGTGACATTGTTGCCATTGTAAAGTCATAGCACACTGCATTACCTTTTCCATGTTTGGTTACGTTTATTTTAAAATTTTTAGATTTAGGGGGTACATGTGCTTGTTTGTTACATGGGTATTACATGCATAATGGTGGGGGCTGGGCTTCTAGTGTACCTATCACCCAAATACTAGACATTGTACCAACAAGTAGTTTTTCTTTCTTTTTTTTTGTTTTTTGTTTTTTGAGACAGAGTCTCACTCTGTCACCCAGGCTGGAGTACAGTGTTGCTATCTCAGCTCACTGTAACCTCTGTCTTCCAGGTTCAAGTGATCCTCCTGCATCAGCCGAGTAGCTGGGATTACAGGTGCCCACCACCATGCCTGGCTAATTTTTATATTTTTAGTAGAGACACGGTTTCACCATGTCGGCCAGGCTGGTCTCGAACCCCTGACCTCAAATGATTTGCCTACCTTGGCCTCACAAAGTGCTGGGATTACGGATGTGAGCCACCACACCTGGCCAACAGGTAGTTTTTCAACCCTTGCCCTCCCTCACCATCCCCCTTCAGAAGCTGTTTTCTGTATGTTGCTCCAAGCAGTCACTGTAGTTGATGAGAAGTTGAAAGCTATTCAACCTCCGTGGGCAGTTGGTCTCCAAAGCTCTTTGTACATGTGGCATTCTTATCATTTGTCCCTGAGATAATGATCCTACCCCTGATAATAGTTTAGTTTCTTTTTTGCATGAACACTGAGAACTTACTAGGTTTAGAGCAGCACTGCCCAACAGAAATATATGAACAACATATGTAATTTAAAAATGTTCAGCCAGGCATGATGGCTTGTGCCTGTAATCCCAGTACTTTGGGAGGCTGAGGCAGGCAGATCACAAGGTTAAGAGATTGAGACCATCCTGGCCAACATGGTGAAACCCCATCTCTACTAAAAGTACAAAAATTAGTTAGGCGTGGTGGTGTGCGCCTGTAATCCCAGCTACCCGGGAGGCTGAGGCAGGGGAATCACTTGAATCCGGGAGGCAGAGTTTGCAGTGGGCCGAGATCGTACCACTGCCCTCCAGCCTGAGGGATAAAGCAAGACTCTGTCTCCAAAAAAA